TTTCTTGTTATATAGGTCTTGCTTTATCTTGCTCTTAACCCTCTGGCAGAAAAATATAAAAACGAGGTATAAAAAGAAAAGCCATATTCATATGCTGAGCTGTAAAAGGCTCAAGTCAACAACTTCTGACGTTGCCAGTCCTACGGATAACCCACTACTATTACAGACTACTGGACTGTTGAATTATTTTGCTGAATTCATGCACCTATAATATTTAAATGGCAATGGACTACCCATCTCTGACAAAACTAAACAAGAAAAGGGGATACAAATGAATGACCATTTTGTATCTGTATATACAAAATAGGATAGATATATGGCTAATAGGGCCGGGGAGATGGCTCAGTGGAATAAGTGCTTCCCTGGAAAGAGCAAGGACTTGAGTTCCACCAAAAAAAAGAAAAAAAGAGAAAAAAAGGATCTATAGCTACTTTCTCTTAATTCAATGAGAAGAAAGATTTGTACTACTAGTGTTTGGACAGGATATCATGCCTGCATTTTGTACTATGAATTACCACTATGAAGAAAATAGTATGCAATGTATTGATTATTGAAACTGTCCTACTAATCAGTTTTTAAACTGTCATGGCTATTTCTCAATAAAATTAATTTAAAAAGCCTCCATACAGAAAATACATATTATGTTAGTATAAAATTTAATAGGAAACAGTAGTCCTTTGTTATTTTGCAGCTCTACTATTGTGGACTCATGGTTTCACAGATTTTCAAAAAATATTAATCTAAATTATTTATTGCGGACTTTTCGCTATATTGCAGTATTTTCAGTATGGTGCAGTATGTGTAAGTTGTTAAAATTATGTAGGTATATGAGTTTTAAAAATGATTAAGAACATTAAAAGTGTGGGAAAGGTTCATAAGAGTGTGAGAAGGGTTTATAAAACCTTAAAATATATAGAAATACTATAATAAACATAATGCAGCTACTTTGCTGATTTTCACTTATCGCGGAGGTGTCTGAAACAGCCTCCATGATATGTGAGGGACTAGTCCAAATAAATTTCAAATACAAGTTCATGTATAAACAGTATCCTATTCCATATCTGACCCTAACAATGTATTAATTCTTTTAAAAAGAATGACAGGGGGTTGTAAGTGGCTGTGGATTTCACAGACAAGAGTGATTTTAAAACTGGCAATGTTTTTAATGTCAGAAATTGTTACTCCTTAATATAAAATGAAAAATTTTATATATTAAGAAACATGCAAGACAACGTAGGATCAGTTTTCATACCACAAAATTTGGGTGACAATTATGATAATTATTAAGGTTGTTGTAAGGATTGAATTAATATTGCAACATGTTTATCAGTACTGCACCTGGCATGTAGTAAGTGCTATACTGTTAGCTATTTTCCTTAAAGCAGTCCTGCAAGGTGAACATCTTAATTTCACAATGAACATTTTTCTCAATAAAAAATTTACTGTTGGAAAAGTTAGACAGCTTTTCCAAACTCACATAGGAAAGCGTAGTAGTATCGGAGCAGACACTTTGGTATTAGGCATGTGAGGTCAAATCCTGTTGTTTTGCTATTGGACTACCCAGACTCAATGAACCCACACGTACTAAGTCCAATTCCAAGTGGAAACACAAATTCTGTACTTTTACCCCAAATTTTAAAGTAACAGAAATGGACATCATGCAAAGGTTGAGTACAAAGAAATTTCCTGGTGTTAAAACTAATTAAATATATTTAAATATTAGAGAGATGGGCAAATATACAGAAATACATCATGATGATTTACATTCTTTTAGATAGGATGAGATTCAGAGCTGACTATCAGAGTACAGAAGTATAACAGTAGCATCACTGGTCAAAGTGTAGAACTATAGATCACAAGTTAGAGAGCAGACATCTCATATAAAGCCTAGCAATTTTAATTTTACCATCTATATATGTGTGTGTGTGAGTTTGGAAATATATTTCCATGTATGCTTCCTCTAATCTTTATTCTCCTCTTTTGAAACTTTGTAAAACTGCTCACTGTGTAAACAAAAAAGGGGCTCAGAAGGAACAAAGAAAGTTTGGGTGAGTATTTTACTCTCTGAATACTAAGCGCAGCCTACAGTTCTTTTAACTTCATGAATAACGAAAGGAAGTCTGCTATAGAAAAGATCTGACAAAGTTCTGAACTAATGATAGTGACCTTTGTACAATGTTTTTGTTAGCATGTTATTCCATAGATGTCAAGGCAGTAACAAAAGCAAAGGCAGAACCTAATTTTATAGTTTAACTGCTCAAAAGCTTCAACAGTTTAATTTTCCACCACCTACTGCAGCCTTATCAAATATTTGCTTGCTTCTCTCTTCTCAGGGCCTAGGAAAGTAATGTGGTGGACATTTTCCTGTTGGGGTGGACAAGGCCTGACGCTTCAGTAGCCACTTTAGTAATGAAACGTTACTTTGTTCCCTACATGTGATTATTTTTTTTTGAGGGAATTTAAGTATTATTTAGCATTTCAAACTGAAATAATTAATTTATTTTTAGAGCAAAGAGTAAACCGTGAAATGAAATATTGTGAACCTGGAAGTATGAACATTTTATTTGGTAGTTTTTTTTTTCCTAGAAGGACAAATGCTCTTCTTTAAATCTAGTAAAATTGAATATATAGACCATCAAAGTTTAACATTAGATAAGGGTAAAAACAGTAGTCTTTTCTGCTTCTTAATTTACTGGCTTAACAAGAAGTATCCAGTTTAAGTATTTTATATACTTTTAGGTTATATTTGATAGCAAGTATACATAAATACATTATTCATGCAAGTTACACACATCCCAGTTAAGGTTAGAATATAAAGGGTTAGGCTATATAGCTCCACAAATTATCAGATGCTTCACAATTAATTAATTAGAAATTTACAGGGGCAGTCTAAGCACCTGCCTGGGAAGCACAAGGACTGGGTTCAATCTCTGGTACCACATGCCGTGCTGGCCCCAGAACCCTACGTGCCCCGTGCCAGCCACTGAAACCAGGTGTGGTGCCACACACATGTAATCCCAGCGCTGGGGAGGCTAAGACAGGACAGTCACTATGAGTCCGAGCTGCATAGCAAGACCCTGTACCAAATAAATGAATGAATAAATAAATAAATATTTAAAAATTTGCAATTTATATTTTTCAACACAAAGATTCATTCTTTGTGCTGTACAAGTGACTGACAAGTATGGGGGTACTAATATTTATACTAGAGATAAAAATATGCTTTTGACACCCATTAACCATAAACTACATTCATATTCTGAAGGGAATGATACTTTCTACAAATCTATGAAATACTGTTAAAATATACTATTGGGTAAAAAAAATCTGTAGATGTTATTATATCATGGAAGAAAATAAAGAAACCCTAAAACTTATGATAGTCTGAATATATAAAATATAACTTTTATCAAGTACAATATTTTGAGGAAATGTTTTAGTAAGTTCAAATTCATTTTTCTAGTTCACATTTTAACAGTTCTACCTAATATAGGGACACAGTGAACGGTTTCTTGTACTACTGCATAGAAGATCTGACTCACATTTCCACTTACTCATTTGCTCCTCCAATCTGATCTGAATTTATTACACAGGAATAGCCTTAAGTGTCAGTGAGCATGAACTTTTAGTCACCTAGAAGCAGATTTCTTTGTTCAACTTCACTTTGGCCTTGTCAGTCACAGAAAGCACAATGAAAATTTTGATTTTTTGTTTGCAGTGATACATTCATTTAACTCATCAATATTCATGATCTTCATCTGGTTTATAGATAACCCATGATATCTGCTCATATGTCTCTCTTCTGCTTTCTGTCTCATGGACAATTCAAAGCACACCCTGATAACTAATAGTGCACATCAAAACAGCATTAGATGTGTTTCTATAGTTTTGGTAAAATTTATGATATAAATTCAGATCATCACTCAAACACATTGTTTTGGATTATCAGTAGGTTATACTTGTTATTCTTATAGGATGAAAAATCTGCTATATTAAATAAATGTGTAAATTTATACTGTATTTAAAGAATATTAGCTGCATCAATTTATCTACAAAAGTCCCAAGTTAATCTTTTTTATAGCCTAATAATACTCCATTGTGTAAATACCATATCTTTTTTATCCATTCTTTAGTTGACAGGCACTTGGGTTGTTTCCAAGATTTACCTATGACAAATTGTGCTGCTATAAACATGGGTGGACATATATCACTGTGGTATGATGATTTCAGTTCTTTGGGAAAAATAGCTAGGAGGGGAATAGCTGGCTTGAATGGGACCTCCAGTCTTAGCTTTCTGAGGAATCTCCATACTGATTTCCATAATGGTTGTACCAATAGTAGGGAAGGGTTTCTTTTTCCCTACAGCCTCTCCAGCGTTTGTTATTGGTTGACTTCTTGATGACAGTCATTCTTTCTGGCATAAGATGGTATCTCAGTGTTGTTTTAATTTGCATCTCTTGAATGATCAATGATGCTCAACATTTTTTAATATGTTGTATATTGCACTGTCGATTTCTGCTGGTGTTTTGAAAGGAATAATTAATTCTTAAAAACTTTTTTACTCTGATTTTTTCTCCTCTTCTGAGAGAAACATAACTTCTTTGTTATTGTTTTGTTTTCTTTAAATGAATCTTACATGTCTATATCTGGTAATCTGAACAACTAATTTGAAGATAGCATCATGTTATACAGCTACCCTTGTTGAATTCCTATTGCTGTGTTTAGTGAAATCTTGTATTGTTTTTTTCTATCACTATTTTGTATTCTTTAAAAATAAAATAATAAAAAATTTAGGGTACAACAGTGCCACAAAATAACAAAAAGAATATTAGCTTTTAACTTTTAGTCTAGTGCCTCATATGTCTTAATAATTAAACATTTAAAGAGAATAAGATAAAAAAGGACAAAAAAGACTAAATTCAGGACTCATAAATGTAAAAACCAGTGTCACAAAAGACCTCCTCCAAAGACTATAACACAAGAGAAAGTGCTAAGTGTACCTGCACATCCTGCTTCATCTGCCTGAGCTTCAGGCCCCAGGATTTCTTGTCCTTCCTTTCCTGCTGAAATCAAAGGATAAGGGATTAAAAGATTCATGTGTCACAAACATTTTAACTTCTAGAAATATAAAAAAGGAAACTTTCAGTTTGGATTACATTTAATTTGGAGTGTTTTCTTTAATTGTATAAATGTACTGGGATTTCAGCAGTATTTTGAATCTCTTCCTAAGGGTAGTAGTATGCTTTTTTTTTTTAATTCCCTAAAACACAAATTTCTGTGTTGCAGGCACTGTTAGATACTTTATAAGGTTATTTCTTCATAACAATCTATAAGTTAAAAATGCAAAACAAAACTTGAAGCCTGGAGAAGTTAAATAAGGTGCCCATACACACAGCTGTTAAGACAGAGAAATAGAATTTGAATGCAGATTTGATTGACTCCAAAGCTCAGCACCCACTATACTCCTTGTCTAGCTGCAGAATTAGGGAATTTGAACAATGGGCTCAGAATCACCACTGTGCCCAAAGTAACCAGCTAAGGTACTGTGCTTTTTTGTTACTCAACTTATTCTTCTCATTATTGATAAAAGTAATAATGATGATACTGTCAAATATTTTAGATATTTCCCCTTGCTACTACTTCTACGTTTATGGAATGCCAAATATAGTATTCTACACAGAATAGATTTAGAGTAATTATTTTATATTTTAAATAAATGCATGCTTTATGGCAAGTAGAAATTACAGTATGTCAGTAAAAAATTATGACTTGGGGGGGGGTCCCAAAATGGCAGAGCAGTGAGTGCCAACAACTCAGTTTCTCCAGGACAAAGTGTCTATAGTCTGGAAAACCAGTTTGGAGAGGATCTAAAGTGACCTGAGGTTACTTGGAAATATGAGGGAACTGTTATGGAAGAAGAAAAAGGATTAAGTGATACAGAAGAAACAGGCCCCACTACAGATGAGACACTATCAGTGCCACTGATAGCAGCTGGCTGGCTATCAGCTGGGAGGCAAAAGGAAACTAGTAAGTTTTTGTTATGGAGAACTGGAGGATGTATAGAGACCAGCAAGGAAAAGCAGCAAGGAAACACAGGCCACTGTTTCTAGACCTTTTGCAATCAGTGGTTGGTGAGACCTCAGTACCAGTGCCTGTAGCTACAACTGTGGAGCAGGAGCTGGTGGAGACACCATGGGAGAGAAGGGCTGAGAGTCTGAACTTGGTCCCAGAGCAGCCCTTGGCTGCTTCACACTGCAAGTTCCCAGAGTGGATGAGGAAAGGACAGTCACTGAGACAGCTAGGAATTAGAGGGCACACTGGGGAATCCTACCAGGAGGCTGGGGTAGTGAATACAGATCCAGTCCCTGAGGTCATATGTCAGGTACAGCATGAGTTACATAGGACTGGAAGCTCGCTTCAGTGCTGTGTTCTTGCTGTGAGAAGATTTCTACACTTAGCATGGTTCTAGGGGTAGACTATCACCTCAGACTTACAGCATGAACAGAGACACATCCTGGCTTTGCTCCTTTACTCTAGGCAGAGGAAAAGAGTCATGTATCTAAAACAACGGAAACCTATCATTTATTATTATTATTATTATATTATTATTATTATTATTTTCAGTACAGGGATCAAACTCCAGACCTTGAGCTTGCCATGCAGGTGCTTAAGTTGCTGAACTATCTCCCCAGCCTATTATTTGACTATTTTTTTAATTTTCAAATTGTTCTTTAAAATTTTTGTATTATTAAGTGCTGTTCCCCCTCACAATTTTAGCTCATTATTTTATCCTTTTTTTCTTCTATGAACTTCTATGTCTATATGCTTCTCTTTCTCTTGCATTTTTTCTTGCCATACAGTTTATAGAGGGTAACGGAATTCCCTCTTGTCCCTTTACATTCCTACTATTTTATCCTTATCACTTCATTTGATTTTTTTCTCCTATGTTTTATTCATTCTCATTTTTTTCTTTCCTCTTCCCCTTTTCATCTGTCCCCCTGTAACTTTTTCTCTAATATTTATAGCAAAGAATCTTTTCCCATTGCCATTGTTCAATGTCAATTTTAGCTGACAATTTGTAGAGGTTTTACGTCCACAGGAAGTTACACAGCAGAGGAGCATCACTGAGGAGAAAAGGAAAGCAGCAAACAGCAACAGTAGCCCCTTTTTCAGTCCAGGATATTCAATCCAGGATACCCAAACTTAAAGAGTGGGTAGCACTCACATCCAAGGTGGGCTTCCCCTTATCCAAACCCAGAACACTATCCCCAACCAATCAGTGGACTAATTTAGTAATTGTGCACCCTTATTCCCAGCATCACACACTTTAAATCTAGTCTTCTCTGAAAAGCTCTACCTATCACCACATGAGGCTTTTAGGGGACATCTAGACACAAGTCATAACATCCCTTTCTAAATGTATAATGTAGCTTTATTATCATTAAGGTCATTTGTCCCCTTCTTATTTACTCCTTCCTGTACCATAGAGCAAATATTTAAAAAACAGAAAAAAAGAACCCTTTCTTTTTTCTCCTCTCTATCACCTTCTGGCATTACCTAGTCCTCAACCCTCTGGGATTTAGATAACTAAGTCTGTAAAATTACTGTTGAATGTCATTTGTCACCATTAGAGAAGACACAACCTTCCCATTTAGTGCACATTAACTGTGGGTCAAGACTTGGGCTGTTAGAGATGCTTACACAATAGCCATGGCTGGCTGGCTGGCTGGCTTTCTTTCTTTTTCTTTTTTTGGCAGAACTGGGGATTGAACTCAGGCCCTTGCGCTTACCAGGGAAGTGCTTATTCTACTGAGCCATCTCCCCAACATCCCATGGCTTTTTTCTGGGCTAAATAGACAACCAAAGTAGGGTCTTATTTTTTTGCTCAAAGCCCAGATAGATATTGCCATAATGGATCAGCCTGTTGCTGTTGTACCTGATTTGATTGCATGGGAATAACTCCTGTCTCAGTGGACAATTTCATTACAGTGAACCTGTATCCCAAATCCTCCATTACATCCAGCGAGAGGGACAAGCAAGAGTTTCTAAACCAAGAACTTGAATTGGATGCTTGCAATCTTGCTGAGGGAAGTCCTAAGTCTGGACTGACTTCAGTATTGTAGTGGAGGGAATAGTGAGTTATTGGGGTGTTGATGACTTAGATTATCTGGTAAAGAGCTACCTGGGAGTCACATATGCAATGTCTGCTTAGAATATTTATGTTCTCATCAGACAACTTATAGGTTTAAGTTTCTCTATGCTCCTTGATTTATTTAGTAATGTGGGGTTATGGTTTCCTGTGCTTATTAGGTTGCCACTTTCATAAATTTGTTTTCTTATTCTCTCTGATTTAATTAGGTATCTAGGTTCTCTTGCTGGTCTCAGCTCCCTATCTAGTTTTTTCATCTCAAAACCCCAAGACAGAATTAATATATTTGAAAATTCTTTTACTAAACACATAAACTCCTCCCAAGTTTTAAATTCCTCATGCTTAGCTCCTTCACAGTCACTCTTATCTTCTCTAGTATTATTTCTTGACCCTCCCAGCATAAGCCTTTGGCTCTTCTATGTCTACTAGCTTAATTTTTCTTCCTCCGTATCAGCAAGTTCTAAGAACCACACAGCTTTCCTCAATCACAAAGTAAACCCCTTTCTCACAGTATGTAACCATTGAACCCCATAAAATATCTTCTGAAAACTCTCAAAACTCAACTGAAAGTACTCCCATAAAATTAACTCCCCTATCAACATTTTCTTCTCAATTACCATTATTTTCCCCTTAAAACCTCCTTTTTAGTGTCTTAATACTCATCTAACCACCCCATTACTTCAAGTAAATAACAGGAATAAATACTAGCACTGAACATACAAAACTGAAAATCATTCATGGAGGAGCAGTCCTCATATTCTCTCACCCTGCCTCACCTACAACACTGCAGAACAACCACAAGTACTGAACTGTCACAGAGTGTATGGAGAACAGACAAAGGGAGTAAGTGTAATTGCAAGACCTATCACACAGAAGTGTCATAATACTCAATCTATAGTTGCTGATATGACCAGAAGTAATTCTTTTGGCATAACATAGAGACAGAGTTGAAATAAAGTAATTAAAACTTCACAGCAATTTCACTATTAAGTGCCCAAGGTAAATTTTGATGAAATAGGTAAAAAATTGGACAAGCTAAACAAAACAGTTCAAAATTTGAGTTACAGATTCAGCAAGGATATGGAATCTTCAAAAAGATGTCAGACAGAAATACTGGAAATAAACTATATAGAATTCATATACTCCACAAATGACAAATGTGATGACAGAGTGTCTGTACTGATGGTATAATAGTGCATTATGATAAAGAACTCAAGGAAGCCAAAAAGAAAATAAGAACAGGAGCAGACTGTCCAGCAAGCTACTAGATGACAGCAAGAAGACTGACCTAAGGCTAACTGGAATTAGAGAAAACTTAGAAGATAGCATAGATAGACTTGCTAATATGTTTGCAGGAATCATAGAAAATTTCCCAAATATAAGAAAGTTTAGAGTACAAGGAAGCAATGCTTACAGGTCTCTTAAACAATTATGTTGCCAAAAAGTAGCTCACCATGTACATTTTTGATAAATTATCAGACAAGCAGCAAAAACCTAGAATTTTAAAAGCAGCCAGAAGAAAACAAACAAAAATATATAAAGATAAACCAATTAGAGTCACAGCAGACTTCTCAACACAAACCCTAAAAGGCAGACAAGTTTTAAGTATTTCAAGCCTGAAGAGCAAATAATTTCCAACCCAGACTAACTTACCCAGCATAGCTCACATTCAAAAGACATGTAAACTTTTCCAGAAGTACTGAAAACCTCATATCACAGCGTTATATGTGCACCCATGTTTGTAGCAGTGCAATTTGTTATAGCTAAATCCTGAAAACAACCCAGATATACATCAAGTAAAGAATAGATAAAGAATATGTGGTATTTTTACATTTGTACTCTTAAGTGAACATACTCTTAAGTGAAATAATCAGACCCGCATGTGCAAACATCAAATTGTCTCCTTAGTGT